CTCTGTGAATACCCTTTCTGAAGTAAACAATCAGATAATTTGGAGAACCACTGCCTGGAGGCCTGTTTGAGGCCATACAGAGACTTATGAAGCTTGCATACTGGGTTGGGGATGTCAGATGGTGGAGTTATACCAGGAGGCAAAGCCATATACACCTCTTCATTAAGATCCCCGTGGAGAAAAGCATTGTTTATGTCTAATTGATGGAGATGCCAGTTTCTAGCAGCTGCAACTGCCAAGAAGGTCTTCACTGTTGTCATTTTCACCACAGGAGCAAAGGTATCCAAAAAATCAATGCCTTCTCGTTGTGTGTAGCCCTTGGCAACAAGTCTAGCCTTGTATCGTTCAATCTCACCATCAGACATGTATTTGATCCTATACACCCATTTGCAACAAATCTTTTTCTTTCCTGCAGGTAGAGAAACAACAGTCCATGTTTTGTTTTGTTCAAGAGCATGAAACTCCTGATGCATAGCAGAGTTCCAAACTTCATGTTGGGAAGCCTGTTCATATGTCTCTGGTTCTGTCTGAGCTGAGATAGCAAGAACAAAATGTTTATGTGTACCAGTGACCTTGGTATAAGCCATAGATTTGTGAATGGGATACCTGGAGCTGCTTGTGACTGGACTTGTCTTGGATGCAAACAACTGAGACCTGCGAGTTACCAAATGATCACATTCATAATTGTCAAGGTGGGTGGGAACTTTGATGGCACGAGGTGGAAGGGTTCTAGTAGGAGGAACAGGAGGTGGAACTGGGGAATTAGGGACTGGTGGTGGGAAATAGATGGGTGGTGGTGTATCTGGAGGACTAGCACCATCATTATCACTACCAGAATCCTCAGGTGGGTTATCAGGGATCAAAGGAGGCACATAATCATCATCATCATGAGCTCCACTAATCACAGTTGGGAGGCAGGTAGAAGAAGTGTCACCAGATGAAGAATTGGTAGGCACTTGGAAAGGAAAAACTGCCTCATGGAATATGATATCTCTAGAGTGAAAAACATCATGACTGTCAAGGTCATAGAGACGAAAACCTTTGATACCAGGAGTGTATCCCAGAAAAATGCATTTTCGTGCTCTAGAGGTGAACTTGGTTCTGGTGCTTGGCAATGTAGAAGCAAAACAAAGACATCCAAACACCTTAAGAAAACTCAAGCCAGGGTGTTTGTTGTGAAAGAGCTCAAATGGAGATAGATTGTCTAGAACTGTGGAAGGAGTTCTGTTGATTAGAAAGACAGCATGCTTCACACAGTCAGACCAGAATTCAATAGGTAGATGTGCTTGGAACTTAAGGGTTCTAGCTACAACTAGTATATGTTGATGCTTTCTTTCTACCTTTGAATTCTGCTCAGGTCTTTCAACACATGACATTTCATGGATAATTCCTTTTACAGAATAGAAATCCCTCATGTTGAATTCTTGACCTTGGTCACTGCTAATTCTGTGAACTTTGGTGGAGAATTGAGTCTCAATGAGGTTAATGAAACTGGCTATTTGTTTTCTTGTTTCTGATTTGTTTTGCAATAAAACAATCCAAGTCATTCTACTGTAATCATCTACAATGGTGAGGAAATATCGAAAACCATCATAAGAAGATTGTGAAAGAGGACCCCAGATGTCCATATGTATTAGCTCAAAAGGCTTTGCAGTAATAGACTTGCTAACAGGAAATGGCAAGCGTTTCTGTCTTGCAAAATGACATACATCACAGTGAGGAACAGGAGATGTATCTATACTAGGATTGATTCTTTTGAAAAAAGGTAAACGAGAATGGGAAATGTGGCCTAACCTATAATGCCAAAGATTAGAACCACTAGTTGTGCCAGAAGCAACAACCTTAGGAGGACTACTGACATGATTCCTATGGAGTTTGTAGAGACCATTCTGCAACTCAGCAGAACCAATCGTTTGCATCCTCAACATGTCCTGTATATAACAAAAACAAGAAGAGAATGTCAAGCAAAGGTTGTTGTTCTTGGTCAATTTGCTCACTGACATCAAGTTAAAGGTAAAGTCAGGCACTAAAAGGACATCTTTCAGCAGTATTTTCTCTGAAAACTTCACAGATCCCATTCGAGTTGCTTGGACAGAGTGTCCTGTGGGCAATGTTATTTTCACATTGCTAATAGGGATGTTGTTCACAAACATATCTGGATCAGAGATAACATGGTCTGTGGCTCCTATATCAAGGATCCAGACCTCTTCATAACAGTTTCCAGGCTGTGGTAAAACTGATAAAGTGTACTTGCCTGTATCATGTTGATGCTTACTGATAAAGGCTGAATGTGACCTTGAAGATGAACTGGTGCCACTGTTCTTCAGCATGTTCATTAGAGCTTCATAATGATCCTTCTGGAGAGTGATTCCTTTACTTGTACTGCTGGATGCTTGATCATTCTGGATTGCAGCATTGACTTGTTTATAACCAGAGTTGTTACCTCTTCCTCCTCTTGGAGACATGCCTGGAGGCCAACCATGCTTGTGGTAGCAGGTATCTTCAGTGTGCCCTTGAATCTTGCAATAAGTGCAGAAGGGTCTTGGATTCCCAAAACGACCCCTGCCTCGACCTCTGCCTCTTGCAGGGTTAGTATTCCAGGTATTGGAGTTGGCATTCCAGTTGCCCTGATCTGGTACTCGAACACTCAGGGATTGTAAAGCCATGGCAAGTGATTCCACTGTTCTTCCTTGCTCTTTTGAACTGCCCTGATGTTGTCTCTCATGTTGTGCCATTTTGTAAAAAATTTGGTCCATTGATGGTAATGGATCTGTAAACAGGACTTGAGATCTAGGAATACTGTAATTATCATTCAGACCTCTCAGAAAATGTACTATCAAATTAGTTTCCTCATAACCTTTGACAATAGTAATGGCTTCACAAGCATGAGGGCTCGTGGCTGTGCAAGTGCAAGGGGGTATGCTCTGGTAGTTCCTTAATTCTTCCCATATAGTGATTAAATCAGTATGATATTCAGATAATGATCTACTGCCTTGTTTCAAAGTACAGAGCTGCTCTTTCAACTCAACAATACGAACTAAATCACCCTGAGCATACCTCAACTTTAGGGTTTTCCAGACTTCAGCAGCAGATTGAATACTCCGTACACTTTTCCCAATCACTTCATCGACTGATTGAAGGATCCAGCTCTTGACCATTGTGTTGCAACTCGTCCATGGCCAGCTCATCGTGTCTCCCGCCTGTAGCTTGGGAATGCTTCCATCGATGAATCCCAGCTTGTTCTTGGATGCGAGTGCGTCGATCATGGCTGCGCTCCAGTCGTTGTAATTGGTTGGTGTGAGTTTTTGAGGTACCAGCACCTAACCTGACTGCTCTGAGCCATGGAGGTAAAATGGATCTGATAATGGGTATCCAGTCGCCAATCGATTTTGTTGGCCGGATCCACTTCCATCTCCTGCCTGTGTGACAGTCGTTTCTGTGTTTTCTGTGTTTGTCGACATTGTTGTGAATCGGAAAGAAAGGGGAAGCTAAGAATGGAGAATGAAGAAGAATGCTAAAGGAGGCGAACAGAGTGGTGAGGGTCGAAACCTCTCAACCAGGCTCTGATACCATAACAACGTTTGCTTGTGGAAAATTAGGGTTTCCAACCTACCCCTTTCCTTCTTCTCATTGCAAATATATAGTCCGAACTACAAGCCAAAAACATCCAGCTCTGCTGGTGAAAAACAAATACAGAGAGGATGAATAGTAAAAACGATCGCTGTCGAGACCGTTGGAAAAGCTAGCATCTGATTGGTCCTTCATCTTCCAGTACGCGCGCGACACGTGACACCTGGATCTTTGTCAGAGACGGATGGAACGACACCGCTTCATTTACTGCGAGAGCTTCCTTCTCCTGAACCGGGTTCGATACTTGAAGAAGAAAAAAACCTGTTGGTTTCTTCTGTTACCTCGCGCCACAGTTCCTTCCGTCCGCCACCTATCGGGCAGAGAGTGCGACCAACGACCCACAAGAGAACGGTGGTATTGTGAGTGATTCCCGCAGCTTGCAGGGGAATTGGTACGTCAGGTTTCCACCCCATGGATTGCTATTCAATAGCCCTATATTGGTGAACGCCAATATGTTTGTTTTTGGTTTGGATCATAGATAAAATGAAATCTAATGGAGGTCAATCCAATAGTGGTGTGGTATTTATAAAAATAAATAGTGGCCTTGTCGAGTTTGAGAGGAAACAATGGTGGTGGTGCTGCAATTCAATCGAAGGGGTATTGGCATGAATGAATAAACACTACGAAACCTTATGTATAAATAGTTATGTACTTTGTTCACTTAATAAGCAAACGAATTATGTATGTTATTCGTAATGATTAAGACATCATTATGTGAATAATTTTGTGAATTATTTGATTTAAACTAAATCATTATTAATTTCTTACCGCGGCGGAGCGCCGATAAAAAACTAGTTGTAATAAAGTGAATAGTTATGGCTATGAAGTGTATTTTACCTTAAAAAAAAGTGAGGGGTAGCTCCATGGCAAGGAAGCGTGACTGAGACGAAGTAAAAGATACTATGTGCAGGTCAGTTTTGTTATGGTTGTGGCACTGACACGTGCAAGGAAGGAAAATATATGCCAACTACAATATAGACTCTAAACCTATAGCCTATAGGCCCTTCACTTCATCGACATACTTACCCTTTCAATGCCCTGCAACCCTCCTACAGTGCAGTGTAGCACAGGATCTAGCCCAACTACGTAGCCACAGCTATGCCACTACGGAAAAGCTTTTGGGATACTTTTTGATTTCTTCTTCACTTTTTTCAGCTCTTATTAGGTGCGTGTAACAGTAGGATCTGTTTCGGATTTGACTAAACTCACAAGAACCACGGTTCAATAGGGAAATACTTTTTAAGATCAAGTAATCAAATGCTCAATACCTTCCACAGTTTTTCCCAATTGAATCAGAGGATGTGTGAATGAAGAAATATGTTTTTACTTATACCACAATACAGTTACAACATGCAGTCACTGCATCCTGTTCAAATTGAAACAGGAGATAGAAGAGGAAGGTCAAGACTGTCTGGATTACGGGAATAACTAATCGGAACCATAGCTGGGTCCTCATAGGCAGTGACCAAGTTACCATAAAACCGAGTCATTAAACCCTGGTTCCAGTCTGCTCTGTCCTTCCTGATCAAAACCTGATAAACAAGAAAAGCTTTCGTTCAATTGCTTCATTTTGCTCATATTTCATTGAGTTGAGAAACATGAATTCTGCTAGGGTCAGAACTCTCCCAGGCAAGGGGGAGCTGGATCGGGGGACGCACAATTCCAAGAGCTGATCCAACAGCTCATTGGGGTGCGTCCCCCTATCCAATGCCCCGTAGAAGGATGGGGCGTTCTGCCACAAATCCTACTTGGGGAAAGAAAGCAGAATGGGAAATGCTAAGCGATTGAGTCATGACAGTGGTACCTCTGCAGGGTAAGCTCTGAAGACCGGCAGGAAGCGCTTCCTACAGTACTCGTTGAAGAGGAGCGTGATGGCGGGAAGTGGGAACACTAAGGTGGATGCCCAAGACAGCTTCTTCAGCGTAAAGATTCCGACTGCAATTGCGTGCATGAGAACCAGGGAGAAGATCATGGTGTCGTGTACCATTGGCCAAAACCTCCCACCAGTTTCGTACTTGGGCGCGTACACATGTATGAACTGCATTCATGGAGTTACTATCACGTACATTTCTAGACCTTCACATTCAGCTCGAACATTCGGATTAAAAAAAAAAGCAATTGAAAGAACCGTGAAGGAGCTTTACCCGGTAAAAACTGTTTACTTATCGAAGTGTTGGTAATTTTATTAGCATATGGAAGAAAACCAGCCACATTAATCTTTACTGATTTGCTCTTTTCTAATTCTTGACTTTCGGAACTTGATCATGAATCTACAAACTGGCCTAACATACAAAGTTAAGTTGCAGTTATATTCGGATCCTAACTGGTACTTAAACAGATGACATTGAGGTGCAGCGACAACTAACCTGGTTGCGGAAGATGAAGTATACCATGCAAAAATACACCAGGAGGAAAGGTAGAATCAGCGGGGCTAGGAAGAAATACGCAATTCCAAGCAGTCCGAAGAAGAGCATCCTCGGAAAGTCTCTATGAAAACAGATAGAGGGAGCTTCAACATCCTCATCATCATCTGTACTTCCCAAACACTTGGCAATAAGACTGCCAACGAATGGAATTACGCGAAAAAGTTCTGATGCTACGCTTGTCCATCCAGTTGTGACGACATAAGCAATGAAAAATGATGCCTACTCAACATAAAAGAAAGAAGAAAAAAGGAGTGATCAGAAGCAATAACAAGCTTGGTTTCATTCGGAAGTAGGAATATGATCATAAAAAAACGAATAAGGAGCAGTCATGTCCAATTAATTCCATTCAGAGCCCCAATAACAAATGGCAACTCATTCCTGAACGCAACTCTGTAATTGAGAGGAAGCTTTGGCTTGCAGGACATGGGAAAGACCAAGGGTAGCATGAACTTTTCAGTATATCGTCGTGTTTTTTAAAATCGCTAGAAGGCCGTGAATAAATTTTAACTGAAAAGATAATCTTACCTGAGCTGGAACAGAAATACCCAGCTTTTCAGGAAGGCTTTTGGGGTCGAGGACAATGGAAAGCTGATAAAAAACTGACCCAGAAAACACAGTTGCAAAGAAGACATTCCAAACTGTGAACCAAATTCCTTTGTTGCATGCACTCTTCTCAATCTCACTGAGAGAAATATATCCTTGGATCGAAGAAAGGAATCTCATGATAGGAGGTACAATCTTTAGAAACAACTGCAGGATTAGACTGGGAAGATATCCTGTAACTATTTGGCTAACGAATGTCCTGCAAAAATAAGATGGACAGTTCAGTACTCCACTTCATTCTGGACAAGATGAATAGTTATACATAAAAGGATTTGAATGTTAACAAGCTAACATACAAGAAATGAACACCCATAGATCAACACTCACTTGGATAGAATATTCTTCAGGAATGGAAACCAAGCCTCCAACTGACTTAGGTTTGTAAGACCTTGTACTATTATCACAGGAATAAGGAAGAGAATTGTAAGGAGAACACAGACAACCACGATAACGAGCTTAGATGTCCATCTTTGCATGAACGTTGATGAGAAGAAAGGCCAATAAACATCTTTAGGGGCAGGAGCTTCTTCAGTAATCCAATGTAAGGGGTTGACAGCTTGTTGCAAATGGAGAGCAATGGCAGCACCATATCGAGTCCGAAAAGATACAAAAGCTGCTCGAGTATCCTTCAACAACAAACGAATCAATTATTTAGAACAAATGCACTGAACAATAAAGCTAAAGTATCTAGCCCGATATATTCACTCTGAAAAGAGTTGCGAGTTTAACTAACATCATGAACACGAAGGAAACTTAGCTCAATCAAATCAAAGGTTAAGAGTATTTGTTTGGTCTTTACGTCAAGTATTTAGGTGAGAGCATCAAATTATAGCCTAGCTGTAGCTGTTAATGTTGCAGAAAAATTGACAAATGGCTCACATAGTGTCTCAAAACTCAGTTCTCCACCGAGCTAACAGAAAGCAATTGACACATAATTCGCATTGCCATATTTTCTCGTCATTTTTTCCGCCAGAATAAACGAAGTAAAAGATACTATGTGCAGGTCAGTTTTACTAGCATAGACTTACCATATAAGCTGGTGTACTGCGTCTACTATTAGCAGAAACACAACAAATTTTTTACATGGTTGACCTAAGAACAGGCCTCTTGGTTCATTACAGCATCATATAGGCTTGAAAGGTAAAGTAAGGACAAAGATCAAAGATTCTGCAGAACAAAAATAGTATATGCACAGCCATAAGTGAAGGGAAGACGTACTTTAGACATCGATATATCTGATTGTTCTAGTCTGACGTGTTGCCGAATGTCTTCTAACCGCTTCTCATAACGATCAAGATCAACCTTCTCTGAGAATATTGTGTGCTTATCTTGCAGTGATCCGGCTCGTGAGTGAGTAACCCTTTTATATAGATTCTTCGCTTCATTCTTCAGACAGAAATCATGGTAAAATAATGAGAACCCAGGTGAACAGACTTCTAAACCACCAAATAGCAAAGTGTAGAATTTTTCAGGAGAATTATAGAACATGTTAAATTATTGAACTACTCTGTATATTACCCTCGAGTTGTAACTAATATTCCATTATAGAACCCTAAGAGAAGTTCAGATTTTTTGCTACATTCTTAGCTCTATCTTGCTATTGAGTACTATCGATTTCCAAAAATTCCAGTTAAGGCCTTAAACTCAGCCCCCAAGGAGGTCTCATCACCATACTTATGTTGGGGCCACATGAATCCCATGTACAACATAGTCACAGTACTTTATGGGTTCAACCAACCTCTCTCATGTCCTTTGGGGTCAGATCTTTTTGTATTTGGTAAAAGAAATATTTATATGGGTTGGATGAATAATTCCTTATGAGAAGAGAAAAAGTAATGATGATGCAGTGGCTTTGGGAATTATGCACAACTTTGAAAGTTCCTTACAGTAAGATTTCGAATTTTGCGTGTTCGTCGAATAACCACGTGCGAAAGATATGTAGCAGGGTGATTCTCTCTGAAGAATCTTTCAACGCTCTCGCCAATGCTGATATCACTCGATGCAGGGATATTGCTCACTAAGATGGTGAACTGATGAGGCTGAGGATCCGAAGAATGAAAAAAGGCAATCCTCTTTGATGATATATACTTGTATTCCTGCAAGGCAGTTTTACATTCTTTACAATTTCTTTTGTGCTGAATATCGCAAGAACAAGGATGCTAACCATTTCACCTATATATCTGCATACTGAAGCAGAGATGAGGACGGCAGTTTTAGCATCTAAACCAACATTTGACACCTCACAATTTCTGTAGAAATGTAATAACTAACACTAAAAAGAGAATGCAAATTAAAATTTCAGGAGAAAGACGATACATATATACTATACAAAGACCTACAACGTGAATAAACCATGTTCTTCGGAATCATAAACCTAGGATATCAGACATTACAGATTATCAAAATGTGCTCGAAGCAGAATTCGACAAAAAAGAAGTAGCTACATTGATTTGACTTACAGTAAAAAGAAGACCACATACGAATATTGTTACGGTGTAGACAGCAGCGAAATGAATCCACAACCTGCCCAAATCACCAAAGTAGGGTGAGAAGGGTTTTTGTTTTGAATCACTAAGAATCAGCATATTTTTCAGAATTCTAGCAAAGCCAAATGTGCAGGCGTTGCCTTCGACTATTTGAAGTGCAACACGAAGTACAAAAGAATCATTAGCTTAAAGAGACAAAAATCAGAATATGATATACTTAATAAGAACTGCAGCTGCATTGTATTACCAGTTTTCAGCGATAAAAAGAAGTGAGAATGACATACGAGTTATGTTTCTTTGTTATTGCTTGGTGTCACGTGAAGAGAATAACAGGAAAGAGTTCTAGGGAATGCGTTGCCAGTGAACATTAACATTTTTTATTTCAAGAGAAAAATTCTATGAAACCAATAGCACAAAGGAACTTGAATTACCTACTAGAGTTCAGTCCACACCTGCAAGTGAGAATTACCTTTCTGATCCATCATTTACATTTGAAATCGTAAAAACATCCAAAGAGTTGTTTGCTATATCAGTGAAGTCGATTTCATGAAGTTGAGTGCCCATGCTATTCACTGGAAGAAGAACAAAGATCCCTATTACTCCAGCAAAAGCAAATACTTTCAAACTGCACCATTCAGATAAGAACAAACAAAAAAACAGAAGTTCATTAAGAAACAAGCAAAGATTGCTAGGAGGAGAGGCATCGGAACAACAAAACAGATCTCCTGAACTGGAAAACAAGCGCAAAACTTTCACTTCCACACACCCATTTTTACACTTCTCCAATCTCTCAAGCAACAGCCAATGTTAGTCTCTATAATGATGTTCATCAACTGACCTCTGGAGTGTAGAAGTTTGAGTAAGTGATGATTGAAGTGATAGTGTCCCTAAACTGACCAATGAAAGCCCCAAACACCAGGCAAACGAAATAAAGTGGCAAAACTAAAAACCTAGCAGTAATGAAACTTCTCAACTTTAGGGAAGCAAATTACCAGAAAGTTATAGCTCGCATAAATACCAAAGCATCCAATCCATTAGATGATAATATATCCTCTTCAGATAGCCTCCAAGCTCTAGCCAGCCAACCAGGGGACGGTATGAGCCTTCCTAGTTTGAACCGACCTTCTCGTCGAGAACTCCCTTGAGCCAGAAGCCGCGGAATGTAAACTTTGTAGTAGCCAGGTTGCTTCCTCAACACAGAATACAAAGTGAAGAACAGAACGCATAGAGTGGAATTTATCCCCAAGGAAGTCAGAAGCGCCGAGACACGCATTTTCCCGCCTAGAAATCTCGAAATTCCAACGAAGAAGAGGAAGTCACAAGGACCTGCCGACTGCACAAGAGCATGGCAAATCGATTATGAGCAGATGAACGATCTCCGAAAGACGAAAACTAAGCAGCCATACGCGATACGAAAGCAGATTGAAAGAAACAATTGAACTTTGATTGAGAAAAAAACAAGCAAGAGAGCAGGTATCAAATGAGCTCCAATTGGAAGCTCTTCACGCCTGCTCTCTTTCCAATTTCTGCGAGCAGCACGAACCCACCCGAAAGCAAGCAGACAAATGGAAGAAGGAAGGAAGCCAAGCTTCCGACGGAACTTCGCTGCGTCTGGGTCTAGAAAGCAAGATCGAAATTGAAGTACCTTCCTCGCCGGCCGTTCAAAGTTGTGTACAAAAGCGCGAATATTCTCAGCTGCAGTGAGAGGAAGTTGTGAATCGCAGGTCGGAGTTCATACGGCAGCGGGCGGTGTTCCGGGGAAGCGGGAGAGAGAAGTTTTGTTGGTTATTAGTCCTTTTTCCTCTTGTGGACAGTGGTGCGCGCTGCTGCTGCTGCTGAAGTTTCTCAATACCGCCAGCGGCAACTGCCAATTGGCTATTAGGCGAAAAGCCTTTTTTATTTATATTTTCCCGGCGGGTTGCTGCCTTCAAGCGGCTGGTAGATATTATGCATGACTTTTCAAGATCGTAATATACAATAATAATAATAATAATAATAATAATAATTTCCTCGAATTTAATTTAACGTTCATTCACTTTTATTTGTAATTGAATTTTTTCACAAAAAAATTATATCAATTTTACAAGGGTAGTAACGAGTCGTATAGGTGGCACAAAATATATTGAAAAGGAATACGGTTTTTATCACAATGAGCTAGCTTCATTTATACAAAAATGTTTTGAAATCTAAATCAAAACAAAGCAGATAAAAGGCTATTAAAAATTAGGTAAAATTGAAAGTTACTTTAATCTCACCTCTCAGATCTAGCCACACTTAAAAATCAAGATTCCATATTTGGTTATGCATAAGTGCATAGCCAGGAGTTATTGACCCTTATCCTAGTCCGAGCTGCTTTCTCTTGGAATGCTCGCAATTTCGATACCGATTTTATCTTACATGTTCGATTTGTGGGCGTGTGTATTCTTCTCGACTTGATCTACCATGATCTGTCTCATTCTCGACTCATTTTTTGCCTAAATTATATGTAATTTTACTCAAAGTACTTAAGATTTTACTTTTATTGCCTCATAGGACTTTGCTACGGTGACTTTCAAGTCACCGTGACTTGCACAAATAGGTCGTCCGCAAAGTAATACAGGTCGATCAAATCTACTATTTTTGTTTTGTTACGTTCAACAAAGCGGTCGACTTTACATGAAATGGTCTACCTCTTTTGCAAGCAAACAATAAAAAATGTCGACCTCAATCTTAAAGCGGTCGAGCTTGTACATCAAATGGTCTACCTCGTTATTAAAAGTAGGGATGGCAATGGGTCGGGTTGGGGCGGGTTTTGTCAAACCCAAACCCATGGGTTTATCCGTAAAAAAAACCCGGGGTAAAACCCGTTGGGTTTGAAAAACTCAAACCCAACCCAACCCGCTGGGTATCCGCGGGTTCATGGGTACCCGTGGGTTTTTGTGGTAAAAAATTTACAATAACAAGTTTCTTTCAAAATAAAAGTTTAACATCAATTTTCTCATACAAATTAATCATACAAAAAAACACCAATCTAGAGCATACAAGCAAACCGCAAATGATCAATACAAATTGTTCAAAATTAAAGATAAACATCTATAAACAAAAGATTAATTGAAAGCTTCTTCCTCGTCAACTAAGTTTCTTCACTCTCCACTTCATAATATCAACTTCATTCTAAACAATTAGAAAGAACAAATTCTACATGTCTCCACAAACATAAAGAATATGAATTGTTTAAAAAAAATATATTATTTAGAATATTAAATATACCGGGAAAGTAATTATATGTGTGTGGGCGGGTACCCATGGGTCGGGTTTACCTAAACCCAAACCTAACCCGATCCGATGAATAGTGTAGTGGGTTTAAACCCGAACCCGGCCCAAAACCCGTCAACACGGATTTTACCCGCGTTGACCGGGTTGGGCCGGGTGGGTACCCGTGGGTTCGGGTTTTGTTGTCATCCCTAGGTCGACCTCTATTGCATTACCTTATCAACATCGAACTCGGAATTATCTAGGGGCAGGCAACGGGAAACGAGTATTTGGGTATGTGGTGTTAGTGATTAAGCTGTTAAGAAGTTAAGGGTTCTTGCTATTATAATTGTGGATTGAATTTGTTGGTTTCTATCGTAATTTCCTAAACCAAACAAAGTATAGACATCGACATACATAAGCACAAAATTCAAAGGTCGCGAGCTTATTTTACTGTAAGTGGTCGACCGCAAAATCAACATTTTCCTCTACGTTTCACTTGAAAATGGATGGATTGATGAGTTGTCGAATGTCGACTCTTCATCTATCTGGTCGGCCATTTTGGTATGATAATGACCATTTTTGTATGTCACCTTAGTAAACTACCTCATATTTTAGTTAAAATAAAGTTGTAACTGGAGAGAACTTCATTTTTTCATATAATTTAATTATATTTATCATATTATAGTTTGTTTTTATTTTCTTAATGAGAAATGAATATTTCTAATATTTTTTTCTTTAAATTACATACTCATATACGTCGCTCTATCTCAACCAACATCTTATAATGAATTACTCTTTATATACTCGAACTGCTACAAAACGAATATAAATATCGAGACACCCGCTCGAACAACTCATTACTATTCCTACTATGCCCTTTGTCTTCTTATTCTTTTTTGCTGATTTTCCGGCCCGGCGGCACCGGCTACATGAACAAGATTCGTGTTTGCTTGGTGTTTTGATAATTTATGGGTGTGATTTGGCAAGTAAGTTGGTAAATTTTATGGTGCGGGAAGAACAATCAACGAACCGTTCTCGTTTTTTCTTGTGTTTCTGTGAACTGTCAAGTCGACATTTTTAATTAATCGAATGGGAGAGTCACCACACCCGCCAACAAGAGTCGAACGCGGTGACAAATGGTTGGTAAACATTTTACTCGCTGCGTGTCCGCTTCTGTGCTCACCACGTGGCTTATGATAAATTTTTATGCAAGACGTAGGCACGTAGCTTTGGTTTTGGTTAGGAATAGTAGTGGATATGGTTTGAAAGAGAAAACACCACTGTTATAAGAAGAGAATTGGACGCACCATTGGGCAGTAGAACACTAAACGCGGTTTGTTTCATTTTATTTTTTTAATAAGGGTGATATAGGTTTTTTTTTTTAATTAGGTACGGGCTAAGATCAGGTGACTAAGAGGGGGGCCTTAGTCACATGACTAAGTAAATCTCAGCCCATCCACATCATTAAAATTCAATGGCTCAAATTAATCTAACTTAATGAAGGACAATGTAGTAATTTCCTCTAAAATTTAATTTATTAATTAATATTAAAAAAAACCCTGCTCGGCTGCTCCTCTCCCTTCCGCGCGCTACGGGACTCTCCGCCGGTCCAACAAATTGCGTGGGGATTTTCTCCAGCGATGGCGTGGGGATTTTTCCCTTCGGCGGTGGAATTGGGTTTTGGTGGCAGTGGAATGTGGGTTTTGGGGACGATGTCTTTGGAGGCGAAAAGAGGTTGCCGCCGTCGTGGTCATCGGGAGCAGTGAGCATGGCGGTGATCAGACCGTCGGTGCTTGTTCCGGCGATGACGTATCCGCATCCTAGCGCTCTCCCCATCCAATTCCTACACACGTACGTGCATGGCAGAAAATGGAATTGAGAGAGAGAGATTCCTGGATTTGTGATGTTTGTTGGCCTATTTTGTAATATTTGTATAGATTCGGTTTGTGATATTTAGTGACATTTTGTACGGTTAGTATGCTTTGTACTGTTTGTCAGTTTATTTTGTATGTTTGTACGCTTTGTTATTTTGTAATGTTTGTCAGTTTCTTTTTTTTTTTGTAATGTTTGTAAACTTTGTTATTTTTGTGCACCATGTTTATCATTTTTGTCAACCATGTTTGTAATGTTTTTTATGTCTAAAAAACAACCTGATTGACTTTTGGATGGAACTCCTCTATATAGGGATGGAGCATCCAAAGTCAACCCGGGTGTTTTTTCCCGTTCGTATGGATTGTCTGTCTAGTTTGTCATTTTTGTCCTCCATGTTCGTAATGTTCGTATGTCTAAAAAACACCCGGGTTGACTTTGGGAAGGAGCCCCTCTATATAGGGATGAAGCCTCCAAAGTCAACTTGGGTGTTTTTCCAGTTTGTATGAATTTTTGGTCTAGTTTGCCATTTTTGTCCACCATGTTTGTATGTCTAAAAAACACCCGGGTTGACTTTGGGAAGGAGCCCCTCTATATAGGGATGGAGCCTCCAAAGTCAACCTGGTTGTTTTTTTTTTCTTTTTGTATGGTTTGTATTGTTTGTCAGTCTAGTTTGTATTTTTTGTACAGTTCATATGCTTGTAATGATTGTAAATCTGTTTGTATACTTCGGAATTTTCCTTAATAACCAAACTACCCCTGTCATTAATTAAATAGCCCTTCCCACTTTTTAACCATCAGATTGTTATATCCAGATCTAAGGGCTGGGAGGGGCTTAGTCAAGTGACTAAACACTCCCCCCCCCCCTATTCAATGGATCCTCTCTCATTAGGTACTACTGAAGGGATTCGAACCTAGGACCTCCAGGTTCAAGGCTAGTAGTATTACCACCATGGTTCAAAAAGGCACGCTTAACCTTACGCTTAGACACGCCTAGGCGCAAGACAATAGCAAAACGCCTCGCCTAGGGATTTTGCGCCTAATTAGATACTAGAACACGTCAATGGAGTAAGGCGACATAAAAGTCTCTCCAAATCATTAGGAGATGGAGCTAGGAAGTCAATATCAAAGGAGAAACTTAACATCAACTACGAAATCAATTTTCTATAT